AAGAAACTTGCGGCCACTGCTTGTCATTCTGTTTGTTATGCCAACATTTGTTCCAACACGGTCTGTGTAAAAATGGACATTCAGTTTTAAAATAGACATTCAGGAGAGTCTGGTCAGCAACTGCCTTAGCAATCATCATTGAATAAATTAACCAAATAAATTAAACTCAAAATTTGTAAAAATTAAAATCAAAACAGAAAATTAACTAAAATATTTAAAAAAAAAAAAAAAATCCAAAATAAAAGATTAAGAAAAAAAAAAAAAAAAAAAAGAAGAAAAAAAAAAAAGAAAAAAAAAAAGAAGCCAAAAAGTAGAACAGAGACATTGCGTTCATCTTTTAAATCTTTTCTAAGGCATGCAAGGAATTTTTAAAATGTTTCAAAAGGCAGGAAAAACATACAGAACATATAATTTACAACATGGGAAACATGGAAATTGGCTTTAAGGGAAAAAAAAAAAGTTACATGCAAACACTTCATTTATAAGATAAATATAAATATATAGATATAAAAGGTAAATATCTTTTCTGTCCGAATTTCCAGGATGAAATTATTATTTACATTCAAACCAATGTCCTCATCTTTACAATGTACTCATCTTTACATATTTACAATATTCTGCCTGTTGCCCTCATCTTTATTGATATATTCATGAAATTCTGACCGTAGTACGCTCCAGCCTTCTTTTTGGAATTTCAAACTGAACCATTTATTTAATCTACTAAATATGTTAATGCAGCAATAAAGATGAAGACAACAGTCCAAATAATGTAAATATTTACAATACCTCATCTCAGAAATATAAACAGAGATCTTCATCTTTGTTGTTATTATTATCACATTTCAGCCATTGAGCCATGCAGACTTCAGATATCTGAATAACTCTCAGGAAATTTTGAAATAAATCCTTTATTTAATTTATAGGGTTAGATTGTTCTTGTTCTACTGCCCATGTGTAGGCATACCTCATCTTGTTTTTATTTAGTACTGTTCAACTGTTACTCATATAATTTCCAGTGAGTCTTAGTCTGCATTGCTTAGCACAGAGATTGAACTCACCATTACTATGTCCCCAAATTCATGAACCAACACTTTAATTCACTATTCTATTTTTAGACTTAGACTCCATAGAAACATGGTGAACAATAACTGAGAAGTACTAAATCAAAACAAGACATGGACAGAAGAATAAGAACATAGATTAAATAAAGGGTTTAGGTTTAAATTCCTTGAAGGGATTGACAAGCATCTGATGAAGGCCGTAAGGCATGACAGCTGAAATGTCATAATAACAAAGATGAGGACAGTAATCTGAACATGAATAAAAAAAATTTAAATAATTCCTCTAGAAATCTAAGCCTGGGGCTTAAATCATGCTATATACTGTTTTTCAAATATATTAAAGTTAATTCTTTTTATTTTACAAGAAAACTTTTTTTTTTTAAGAATGAATAAATATATGTGCACACATGTATATATGATGATAGAATATTAATTGAAGCCAGATATATTATTAATAAAAGAAAGATACCTCAAGAAAACAGCTGGTTACTGGGTCGAAGAGAGAGAGAGGAAATGGGGGGGCAAGAGAGAGAAGAAAAGGGGGATAAAAGAGATAGAGAGGGGGAAATAAGGAAGGGGTCGAAGAGAGAGAGGATAAAAAGGAGGTCGAAGAGAGAGGGAGAGTAGAAAAATGGGGGTTGAAAAGAGAGAGGAAAAAGGGAATGAAAAAAAATGATGCAAAATGTTTCTAGCATATTTGTTTAACTAATTCTTTTATTAATAGAAATTCATAGCGTCATAGTATCAGAATATTTTATCTGATCTTACGTTACTTTTCATCTAAATTTTAAATCCCCTTGATCTTATATACAAAGAACAGAACTTTGGACCACTATTTAATGTCTAGTCTCTGAAATAGCAATGAATGTAGAACATTTTCAGAATTTTAACACCAATGATGAAAATGCTTGAAGCGACAGAGATATGGTTAAAAAAAAAATGTTAAGATGATGGGCAGAGAACATGAGAAACAAGTCAATTTTAAGAAGGTATTAAAAAGAAACAGCTGTTAACAATTAGAAAGAGAGTCAAAATTTCTGGGACAAATAAGAAGTCTTGGAGAATTTGACACTCACAAGGCATGTGAGAAAGCTACTTGACATGTTTCAGCAAACAGATGATGGAACAATGTAGCAAAAATAAAAACTGTCAGAAATTGAGAGAGCCACAAAACTAAATAGTCGCAAATCCATTCTCCTAGCTGACAGTTTGATTCCTGCCCTTTTTTCATTGCAACTGACTTTATATGCATTTGAAGTTTAGTATGCTAATCTGTAGGTAGCACATCCAGACTATTCCATCAACTATTATTTGTTATAGATGATGAAATGAGTCTTCTATGGTTTTTCTTTGTATCCTGGAGACAATGGCACCAACAGGGACACATCCTCAATTTTTTGCAAGGTAAGTAAATTTCTTCTGCACAAACAAGGACCAAAAGACAAAGTAATACTGTATTTTCCAGATTACAAGATGCACTTTTTCCAAAAAAAAAATACCCTGAAAAATGTGTGTGCGTTTTCCAAGACAAATGTAAGGCAACACCCAGGCTCAAGCTTGGACAGTCACCTAATTGGTTTGACGTGGATTTGTATGTTGAGTTATTACACGATAATGTTAGCTATCTAATTCAACCCTTTATATGATGTAACCTCAGTACTTAGCTGTTACAAGTATTTCCAAGACTATAAACCTTCCTAGAGCCGATCCACAAGCTTAAATATGCTCTGTTTACTAGCAGCAGTGAGAGTCTTTCTGCTCTTGACTACTATGTCATTGCCATACAAACAAAATTGGATGCATGATTAATGTAAACAATACATGTGGTCAGTATGTGGGGGATGCATGGTGAATGTGTTGTTGTATAAGAATGACTTTTTTTTCTTAGAAATTTCTTTCCAATATTAGGGTGTATCTTCCAAGCCGCAGTGTCTTGGAAGCCAGAAAATACAGTAATTAAGGCAGTGTTTTTCAAATTTTTTTTTTTACTGCAACCCACAGCAATAACCACATTTTGCATTGCAACTCATTATACCTACATGTAATAAATAAAAGACAAACTCTGTTCACTAGGTTTGTTTATTTAGCATTGACAATTTATATGTATATTTCTTATGATCTGCACATATTGGAATGGCATGTATCTTATCTGTATTAAATTAATCTGCTTGAATATAAAATTATTACTTTTAGAAAAACAAATTTAAAGGAAATTCCAACACAAAGGTAAAGTAAATAATATTTGCCAAAAAAAAAAAATATCATTTAATGAGACTTCAGATCCAACTGATTTATTCAACAATCTTAACGGCTTTCACAGGCCATGAAAACAAATGCACTGCACACCTTAGTAGCTAAGTCTTGGTGCAAGGTCTCTTTGTGAGAGAGGACTGACATCACTCAGTCTGCAACAAGTTTCAAAAACAAAATACATAAACTGGGTTGTGACAAAAAAAAAAGAAATAAAAAAGACTATATATATATATATATATACCCCAACTATATACCATCCACTAATCCCTTAGCACTTTCTATACCCATCCTTTTTCTCTGATCTTCCCTCCCCACCACCAATCTAATGTGTCTGTCCGGTCTATTTTCTCCATTTATGGAGGAGATTTCAGTTTGAAGAGTTGAACATCTTGGTGTTCACAAAATAAATTATAACCAAAATAGATAATTAAAGTGTCAGTCTTCTTATCATTATAATTCTCTGTAGTCTACATTGAGCTCGCCCTGGATTTATATCCTCCATGGAATTATCCCTTCCAATCACAAGCTGGTAAGATGGTAAGACGTGTACATAAATAAAATATATGACCTTACCTTGGTGAAAAATTAGCTATGATTTATGAGTGCTGTGCAAAATTTAGAGTTGTTTATAGCCTACATTTTGCTCTAACTTGCATTTTCTTTCTTTCTTTTTTGTCCCAACCCATTTTATTTATGTCGGGAGCCACAGTTTGAAACATCCTGATTTAGAAAAAAAACACATAAAAATCGGTCATCTTACTTTTTTCTTTTTTTCTAACAAGATTTTCCTGTTTCTCAATACTTTGCTTAGCTTTTGGAAGGCACCTTTGGTTATCCCAATGTGCCTTCAAATTTCGATGACATACTTTTGTGTCCTCTGTTAAGACACTTTCTCACCTAACCTTAAAAAAAAAAATGAAAAAATAAATATTTAAATGTAGGTAGTATGTGCATTGGATAGAAATCTAAAAGTGTATCATAATTAAACCAAGGCTTTTGCAAGTAATACCAAATAAAGACATTATGAATCCTCTATTTCCCTAAAATGTTCATGAAAATCCAACCAAGTTTTAAATGCACTAAGGAACTTTAAAAAAAAAAAAAAAAAAAAGCAATTCACTGATTGCCTTCTAATTCTTCTGGGACTTCAATGTTCAAGAATGCTGCCATTCTTAGTGAAAGACATTTTCAACGTATCCTTTCATGATGGCTCTGAAATTTTCAGTAGGTCTGAGGTCAAGTGAATTTCACAGCCACCTACCAAAAAATGAAAGATTTCCAGGAAGTGGGAAAATTAAAAAAAAAAAAAAAAAAAATGTTTTCCAACCTGTGTACAACTCCAAAAGAGGCACATGTGATTCATTTCTTCAATAAATCAGCCAACAAATTTTACTAAAAGAAGCAAATATTTATGTTTGTGATCAAATCAATGTCCAACTTACGCTGTACAATTGCAGGGCATAGTGGTGTGCAAGTGGAAAGAGACAAAAATACATGCATCTCATTGGTTAGTAAAACTTGCCTGACTAGTTAAGGTGATTAGAAAACTATTTGCGGCATCTATTTTTTCTTTTTTTTTTTTTTTAATTTCTTGAGAAATATACACCATGTCTACACTAAATTGCTAAAATAGTTGTAGAAACATTTATACAATAAATAAAAACCAACTGAACCAATGTAGTTAACCTGTTTGACTTGTGGCCCACTTCAAAGAGTGATTCTGGATTCTGTTCAATTTGTTCAACTTCTGACACAAACTCTTCAAATAACGACTCCAATTCTCGACTCATTTGGTCTATTAAATCTGTCTGCAGTTTCTGCAAGAAAACAAAAGCAAAATCTATGAGGTGAAGAATAACAAGATTATAGAACAGTAAAGAATTCATAAAAATGGTAAATATTTTTTAATTATATATATATATATATATATATATAAATACATGGAAGGTTATTCATGAGTATGAACACATTTTGTTAAAAATTAGCAGATATTAGGTTGGTGCAGAAATAATGACGTAATAATGTTGTTTTTTGACCTTCAAAAATACGTCAAAAAAAGACATTATTACGTCATTATTTTTGCACCAACCTAATATATTTTCCGTAATTTATTCAATCAAACATGCCTAAAAGAGAATTTGCTGCCTAAATACACACACACATATATATATATATATATATATATATATAGTCATCCATAGACACACTATTTGGCTGTATCACAGCTCTTCAGTGTAGCTAGATGTCTGATTGCTTCAAGCCAGGATACCCATATGGATCACGGATTACCTAGTTTTACATAAACTATATATATATATATATATATATATATATATATATATATATAAAAAAATTTCCAGTCTTCAGTGGTGTCTTGGTTTTAAATGATATTACCAATTTTTTTTTTGTGTTGGAAATATCGTTTGAAACCAGAACCCCCTGAAGACTGGAAATTTTACCAAGAAACTTCAAAGAAATAGATATTTAAAAGTAATCTTTTCATATAATATTATTAACGCTGTATTTTTCATTTTATTTTAATATTGAGCACTATATATAAAAATATCAGCTGTTTCTTAAATTTTATATATATATATATATATACACACACACACACACACACACAATATGATAAAAATGACAATGTATTCTGTATAAGATGCTTTAATTATCAACATATATATAAGAACTGCAGTATATATGCTTTATATAGCATTTTTCTAGATCAGAAAATCCTTGGCATCAGTAAATTGGACATCCTAATGTAGTAGACTCTCCTGGTGATATAGGAAAAATAAACTTAACACAAATAAAATTTTAATGGGCATACATATACACTATATATATATATATATATATATATATATATAGAGAGAGAGAGAGAGAGAGAGATGGATAGATAGAACAAAATTCAAGAAGAGAAAAACTGTGCTAAGAGATAAACACAGCTGTGACAAAGGAAAGAGAAACATTTATGTTTATTAACTGTAGTGTGTGTATGTGTGTGATGAGCCACATGATTGTTTGAAATTAAGTAGTCAGTTTGGCAAGGAGAGATATCTCCTCTGGCATTGATAAGTTCTGATTTGACCCTGCATCCTGGAGCAAAAAGGGGAAAGTGAGAATACATTCTTTCCTTTCATACCACTAGCAAGCATCAAGCAAAGTCCATTGCAGACAAGGTGGGATAATTCCATATACATTTAGTTGAGTTTAATATTCAGAAAGTATTGAAAGTAAGAAAATGAAGAGTAACAAAGGTTTGGAGATTTTATATACACAATGCAATTGCAAAATTACTTAAATATAGACATTCTTTTTTTACCAGTCCTTTTACTTGTTTACAAATTACATATAATATACTTTGTTTACTAATTGCATATAATTTATTTTGTTTACTAATTGCATATAATTTATTTTGTTTACTAATTACATATAATTTATTATTCTCACTGCTTTCTCAACATGAAATTGTAGTCAAGGGACTAATTTTTATATATTTAACCATTACTTTTAAAAGTTTAATTTATCTGTCATTACATTAAGGATATTCTTCGATTTCATCAGAAGAGTTCATGTCTTGTAGTGAACTTTTGGATATAAAAGTTACCAACCAGAAGAGTAATTAGTTGCTTCTAAATATTATTTCATTTTTAATAAATTCACCCCAAGCAAGGCGATAGTACCACTAAGATGCAAGGTGTTACAGGAAGTGAAAGAGAATGAGAAAACTTTAGAAGGAACTGGAAACCCAATCAAGTAGGATAAACCTCTACTCCTATTCAAAAGACCAAGGAGGTGTGTAAACGGGATGATAGGTGAACCTAAGTTAGGATGCTTGTCTCTATTGGTAGTTGCATAATTAAAAGAAAAAACTTGTAGGTCCAACAAATGATTTATTTTTATGGAAATATTTTTATTAGCAGTTGCAAGTCTTGGTCACCCCTTAATTCGAGTAAAAACAGTGCAAAGAAGCTCAAAATGCTTAAGAATTCAAATCAAGGAAAACTGAGTTGATGATGCTTACAATGTAATAGCAAGTTGAAGTGTAAAAAAAAAAACAAAAAAAAACAAATGGTAATAGCAATTACAAAAAATACCTGCAATAGGATAGATGCAGCAAAGCTCCATCCTGTTTGGACATCTCTGCTCCAAACAAAAATATGATGTGACCAAAAGGGGGCAATTTATAGAGTAAAAAACGAAAATCCTTTTTTTTTTTTTTTTTTTTTACACCTCAACTTGCTATTACGTTGTAAATGTCATCAACTCTTTTTTTTTTTTTTCTTGATTTGAATTCTTAAGCGTTTCTAGCTTCTTAGCACTGTTCTTTTAATTATGATAGGTGAACGTATCTATTTCTAAAAAAAAAAAAAAAATAATTAGCAAAGTTTCACAGTTTAGGTGGAGATGACAGAAGTATAGAGTTCAAGTCAAATTTGAAGGCTTAAAATAAAAATAAATAAGAAAAACAATTGTAGTTGTTCACCTTTATTAATTCTGTTTGTTCTAATTTAATTATGGCGGACAAAAATACATAAAGGAAACTTTTGTTCTTTCTCAGGAGCATTGAAGTTCTTTTTGATTATTTGAAGTATTTGCACCTTCTCAGGCTAAAGTTTTCAGCTGACATGAAGTGGAAAGACTATATTGAATCCATTGCTAGGTCAGCTGCTAAGAAAGTTGGTTGACTGTGTCAGGTGAGATAATTTCTCTCTCTAGAATCTAGCTTACATATCTATAAGTCTACCATTCATCCATGCTTGGCATATTGCTAATTTAGAGATTTATATTTAGAGATCCTTGATAAAATGTAAAGGATAAGCAATATCATTGGTCCTGACCTGACATCTCAGCTTCAGTTACTTTTGTACCACCATAAGGTTGACTTGGAGTCCTTTCTAGAAATACTTTCACAATAATTGTTTCACTATGATACCTAAACTTTTTGAATTTAAGTGCAGTACTAGACTGGTGTCAAGATCTCTTCAATTTACAGTTGAGCTGGTTAACCGTAAATTCTATGCTAACAGTTTCTTTTCTTGCATTTCTTGCTTGTGGAACTCCCTGCCAGCTCCATGCTTTCCAGCCAACTAAAATCAAAAAAATTTAGATGCAATGTTAATTGCTATCTATTGTCCTCCTGATTAGTCTTTTCTCTTCTCACTCATTAATAATGTTTATGTTCATAATTCTTCCACACCCTGTAACCCCTTGTGTCTTAGTGGCTTTACTGCCTTGCATGGGACAATGCTGATTAAAAAACAATATATATATATATATATATATATATATATATATATAAGTGAACATAGAAGTCAACACTTAGAGGCGACAGTCTGTTGCATGCTAGATGCAATAGTCTTAAGATATATATATATATATATATATATATATATATATATATATATATATATATATATATATATATATATATAATGTATATATATATATTTGTCTGACGATAAGCTAAAGCGTGAAACCCAGGTCACAAACTTACATCTATCCAACCAAATATATATATATATTGTTATATTCCATGCTAATAGGAATATATACTTGAAAAACAATGTTGATAAAATAAGTAAAAACTTATTGTAAAAAACCAGTACAATAAGAATAAAGGTAACAGTTATGCACAAGGTCATCACAAGTCAATCCAGTAGTGAGTGCTACTATTGGAAGGTCGGTAGTTCTTGCATAAGTCTGAGTTGTACTCAACATATTGTAATATTTACCAACCTCCCATGGGGTAGGATGTGGCACAAGACTGGGTTTAATGTTGGGTAATCTGAGCCTGTAGGTTCAGCCAAAAATTCCCCATAAACGGGATCAGATCTGTCTACCTCCCTGGATGAGAGACTGCCCTTTGGGATAGCCTTGTCTGGGTTCCTCTCTGTCTAAAGGCAGAGAGTTCAATATCACAACTGGAATAGATCCTAGCTAGTCTCTGTAGTCCATTGACTTACAGCTACTTATAAGTAGTTACTACCTATAGTGTAGTTACTCATGGGGGTGACAGGTTATTCCATTACATTATATATATATATATATATATATATATATATATATATACACACACACACACACACACACATTTGTTCCTCATCATTTGCTCCAACTTTCATGCACATAGTAATCTTCAGTTACAAATTGATAACTGGCAATTGTAATGTGTCAATATTTATAAGCTGCTGTTAAGATTGCCATGTGTATGAAACTCAGAGGAGAACCAAACAGTAAAGAACAAATGTATATTTATTCTTATTATACATTTTAGCCCTGCTATTGTACATTGAGCTCTGTTTTATTACCACCAGCATACACTGTGAGCTATTTTTTTCTTTAATTGAATTCACCTCAATTAAGGCAATAAAACCACTAAGACACAAGGGGTTACTGTGTGTAGAAGAATTAAAAAACAGAAACATCACTAAGGAGTGAGAACAATAAAAGAGTAATCAGGAGGACAGTAGATAGCAATGGCAATTGCATTTAAATTTTTGAAGATTAAAGTAGGCTGGAAAGGAGTTCCTCAAGTGAGTAAAGAAACTGTTAGCATAGAACTCATGGCTACATTGAGCCAACTCAACTGCAAATTGATGAGACCTCATAATCAATCTAGTATTGTGCTTAAATCATAAAGCTTAGGTACCATAGCGAAAATCTCATCTGAACAATTACCATGAAAGTATCTATAGAAAAGGCACAGGGAGGCAACTTTATGATAGTGAGAAAATGAGTGAAGTCAAGATGCCAGGTCTGGACCAATAATATTGCTTATCCTTTG